CATCGTTCAGACCACGGTTCCGGCCGCACCTCCATTTCCGGCTGTAGTTCCTGTTTTGTTCACTGGTGTGTCCTTCATTGCAACTCCGCTTTGGTTCGCAGTAATATATCCTGCCGGCCCTCCATCTAAGATAAAAAAGAGAGAATAACCATCAATTGAATTAAAAAAGAAAAAAAGGGAGGAAGGTCGGGAGAATGGGAACTCTCGTAATACAGAAGTCAAGGAGAGAAGAGGGGGCTGACTGTGAAGGCACATGGGTGAGGAGGGGTAAACTACTCTGTAAAATTATAGGTATTTATAAGGTGTACCCCAGGGTGTAACCCAGGGTGTACACCAAGACTTTTTGCCGTATATATTACCCGGCAACGAACATCAACCAACCAAAGTATTCAATCTTCCATACAAATTAAAGAGAACGAACCAACAAAAAAAACAAAAAAAAAATTAAAGAGAACGAACCAAGTAAACTCTTACTTTTAGAAGGAATACAACATCCCGTAGTATAGTCCCAACTATTGATGGTCCGCTGAAAATAATCCCAACTATTGATTATTTTTGTATAATCCCAACTATATAGACTATCCGCCAATAATGGTCCATGACCATATATTACCTCTATAAAAAGTGAATTTTAAATAGAAATTAAGCGTAAAAATTAAAAGTTGAGATTATTTAAAGTGATTACTTGTTATATCTCACTCCATCCACTTTAGAAACTACAAGAATTTATTCATAAGGACCATTATTGGCGGAAGGTCCCTAAAGTTGGGATTATTCTATAATAATCAATAGTTGGGATTATTATGAGCGGACCGCCAATAGTTGGGATTATTACTATCAATTTTTCCATGAAATAATGAATCAAGTCCCTCCAAGTGGTGGGTGGTCGAGGACTAAGGGTTGACAATCCTTCCTCAGCTACTATTTGCCAAGTGAAGCGAAAAAAGTTAATTAATTTATTGCAAATTCAAATGTGCTAATTAATAAAAAAACATACATATAAATCCTGTTGCTGCTACTAATCTAGGAAATTTGATTTTACTTCTAAAATTGCAGCAACCAACTTAGAATGGTCGAAAAGCATTCCATAATCTGTACTCAACCTTGGTTCTATATTACTCCCTCCTTTATTTTGCAGATAAAGAAGAGCAGGATCGTCAAATTCTCTATGGTCCGAGATTGAAGAAAGAAAGAGAACATAGTGAGCAATTAAAAATTGTTGGGCGAAAGAAAATTGGATTGCAGCCTTGTAGGCGGGGATAATTTAGGCACGAAAGGTAGTATCTGATCAGCTAAATGGAAACGCTTGGCCTTGTAACGTTGTCAATAAGTTACTCCCTTCGTTCCGATAAGATTGTCTCAGACACTATTCACTTGATCAAAACAAATCTCTCTCAATCGTTTAGTTTATATATCAAATTTTTATCAAATTTGGTTCTGCTTTATGCGACTTTGTAAAGCTTTTAATGTAGTTTCTAAATATGTAATGCTTTTTTTCTAAAAATAATTTAAGTGCGGACAGGGATCTATTTGCTTTATCGTCGGTCAAGCATCGTAAATCGAATTATCCCAAACTTAGTGAGACAAAGGTAGTACAAGTACTTTTTATTGGCTTCACCTAGGTGTAGTAGACGAACGGTATCATTTTTCTATTAATGGGCTGGATTTTAAAAATTACGGAGTACAACTCTTTATGAATTGATCTACCAAACATACAATTAGAAGTTTTTATAAATTTTTTAAATAGTACAAAAGTTAGAAGGCACAGGCTTATGCCAACCAAACATGCACTATAAGTCCGTTGTCGGCCTGTCGCATGAAACATTTATAACTCTTGCAATTTGTATTACTACTAACGCACGGATAATGCTCATTTAAGGCATACTTAAATTTACAATTTTAGATCTCTTTCATTTGAGGTGCTTTCGGATCAATTTTTTTGAAAAAATTTTGTGGGCATGTTCTCTATGAAATGCAGATTATGTCCACTGAATTTAATCTTAAAATTCAGTTGAGAAGTCAGATAAATAAATTATTGAAAATTGCACAGCTTTATATATATAATGCAGTTATTTTCAAAAATTTATTTAATTAACTTCCTAGTTGAGTTTTAAACTGAAATTTGATGGACATAATATATACTTCATGAAGGACATGCTCACAAAACTTTATAAAAAAATTGACCCTAAACCACCTCAAATTGAAGAGGACTGAAATTTAAAATTTTAGACCTACCTTATATGATCATTATCCAAATAGAGAGCAATAACTTTTTAATTAATCCTATCTTGAGAGTAATAATTCATATACCTGTAATTGTCAAATCTATGAATTGTTCATTGAGAGTCCGATTAGTGATCCTGTTTTTCGACTTATTAGTCTTATCAACTTTTTCACTAACCACACAACTTTTCATTTGGAGCGCTGAGTTGTGTAATAATCAAATTAAATAAGGTTAGAGTTACTTTTTCGTCTGGATTGACCGTTTTTCAAGTAATTTTTATCTTTATTTTATTAATAAAATATATTTTGAGTATAGTTTTTTCATAATTCAGCAAAATCGATCAATCCACCCACTTCAGGCACAACATCATAAATTTCGGCAGAATCATCACCCTTCAATTTCAATGCTTTGAATAAAAAATTATACAGAGTATATGAAAAAACAAGTCCTGTGATTATATAATATAAAGTGGTTATTTGGTATTACTAAAAGCACAAATTAGACACTCGTGATAGCGTTATTTCTTATAGTTGTCAATTGTTAGTGTGAATTGTCACATATAAGTTATACGCGTCTATTTTATAGGGGTGGGCAGGGTCTGGGACAGAACGGGATTTGGATGATCCCGATACCTATCCCGTTTTAATAAAACGGGTCGGAACGGGACAGGATAAATCATTGTCCTATTTTTGTCCCTTTTAAACCGGTACTGGAACCAACCTGAATGGTTCGGGACGTCCTGAAAAAAAAAGCAGCCAAAAAACTGCTATATAGTGAAAAATAGCGGACTAGTGCAACGAAAAATTGGGAAAAACTGCAGGAAAAATATGCACGATAACCAAAAAAATTGCTGAAAAAAATCTGCATGACAACAAACAAAATGCATCACCTAAAAGCTGCACCATATTATCAACTTTAGCAATCAAAACTATTCAAAAATTACCAAGTAATCTACAAAAGTTGCAAAAACATTATGCAAATACACATGTTCATAACTCATAACTCATAAGACATCAAAACCTGCCAACTACCAATATAATTATGTTTGCATTGTAAAATCCGAACTCCTTTGCCTTGTGTAGATGACGATAGGTTTAGTTGTTTAGAAAATAGAAATAATGATGTATCTAGATTTTAGGATTTCCTCTTTGAATAAAAAATGACCGAAGCCAAGCCCATATAGGGGCTATAGTTTACTAGGAATACTTCTTAGGCTGTCATTTAAATGATAGTAATGGGTTTTGGGCTGCGAAAATTTAACTACTACTATTACTACTAGTTTACCATTTTTTAGAAATGGGACAACGGGACGGACATGATTTATCTGTCCCGGTTCCGTTCTATTTTAAAACGGTACGAGACCGGTACGTGACAAAAATAATTTGTCCCAATTAGAACGGGACAAATTCGGAACGGGACCGGAACATTTCGGAACGGGACAACGGGACCCAGTGGCGGAGCCAGGATCTAGAGCCAGTGGTGTCAATTTAGAAAATAATTATTTTATCAAAATGTGCGAATATTATAAAGCAAAATAACAAAAATTGTCATTTATAAAATTGAAATGCTAATTCAAAATTGTGTACGTCGCATTTTCATATTTTAAAAACGTTATACATTTTTTTCTATCAAGTGTCGATCAATTGATTCAAACTTTAAAGAAAGAAGACTATCACACCTTGTCTAATACGGAGTATAGTAATATTCCTAATAAAGTATCGTCTGTCTCATTTCACATGTCTTAATGTTGTTTGGGATTATCCCAAAGTAGGTGTCATGTTTCTTCTTTTAAAAAAATATGTAGTCTATAACATTTCATTTTATTATACTCAAACTTGATCAACATTATTAGTTTTTCAATCACTTTATTATAATTGTGTCAAACCAAAACAACACACATAAATCGGGATAGAGGTAGTAGTAAACTAGTAATAAGTAAAATTGTACGCTTCAATTATTTTTAAGTTAGTGTTCCATCATTTAAAATATATACATTGACCTTCATTTTTTTAAATGGTTGTGTCAATTTTTAATTTTTGAAAGATTATATATTTATACTCTGTATATAGTTTTTTATAGAAAATTCTCTAAATAGGATCAAAACATAAATAAAATTTATAAATAGGAATATCAATGTTTTATTCCCAAAATAGGACTCATTCGCTCCTATTTTGGAAGTTTTAATCATGTTATTCTTTTGATAGAACTAAATAATCCCTATTTGGAGAATAAAACACAATCATTCCTATTTGTTTTAATTTGTGTATGTTTTAGTCTTATATTAAACAATTTTTATTTTTTCAGTGGTGTCAATTTTAATTTTTTGAAAAATTATATATACCTATATATGAAGAAAAGAAAGTTGAGTGGTGTCAATTGACACCACAACTCATGTGTGGCTCCGCCACTGACGGGACCGGGTCTTTTGCCCACCCCTACTATTTTATATGCTATATAGACAATTGCGTATATTTTAAAAAAATTAATTCTTGCGTCTCATTAAGATTGTTCCATTTTTTCTTCGAGAAATCTCACAAAGATTGTCTCATATCAAGTTTGATAAAATTTATGTGATTTTAAATTATTTTTATTTTATTCTTATCTTATCAATACAATATCAATCACATCTTTTTAATACGGAGCAACTGTTTATCCTCTCATATTTCAATGTTAGTGAGATAATGAATAATGGGTAAAATACTGTGGACACATCTGAAATTATTTTTTTCAGTCACATATATGGATCTGCTATTGCAATGAGCCCAATTGGCCCAAACACAACTACACCAGAAGAAATGGTTTGCTTCAACAACCCAAAAATGCTCTGTAATAATCACTGAGCTGACAACAATGCGCCAATCACGCATTTCTGCACTCTGACTTCTATCCTCTGTAAACACCCTTAATGCTTAAAACCCATAGCTTATCCATTAATTCGAAACAGATAAAACAAAGAGAAGGTTTCTCAAATGGGGGAGGAAGGAGGAGAGGAGTATCTGTTCAAGATTGTGGTGATCGGAGATTCGGCCGTCGGAAAATCCAACTTGCTGTTGCGGTTCGCCAGAGATGAGTTCGACGGCAACTCCAAGGCCACCATCGGAGTGGAGTTCCAGACGCAGACGGTGGAGGTGGACGGAGGGAAAGTGGTCAAGGTCCAGCTCTGGGACACCGCCGGCCAGGAGCGGTTCAGGTCCGTCACGTCGGCGTACTACAGAGGCGCCGCCGGAGCTCTCATTGTCTACGACGTGACTCGTACGGACACGTTTGAGAGCACTAGACGCTGGATTCAAGAGCTGAACAGTAAGTCCTTTGCTGTAAAGAAAGTTTGAAATTGAGCGAAAAGTGATGTTTTAGTGGGATTCACCCTTGCCTAAAGAAAATTCTAAAATACAGTAAAAAAGTAGTGAACAGTATTTTCATGTTCATGGTTTGACATGGAAAAGTCTTCTATTAAACTAATTAAATGTTGTTACTCCAATAATTGACTTGCAAACTAACCATAGATTAATGGTGGTGGGAGTAATAATGATGATGGATGATAGGACTAATGATAATATGCTAAATACCAATTTCTGTCTTTATTATACGGAGTATTTGCTATCAATTTACCTAACTTATTCTCAAATGAGAATTAATCTTAATCGTTAGCGTCACAAAACGAGTTGTTACGAAGAACATTTAATAAAAAAAATGCTGATAAAAGCATAGCAGAATGTAGATTATGTGCATTTCTACAATTTACAATTGCATCCCTATATGAACTAGTTTGTACGTAGTATATAATAATAAAAATAGTGAGAGAAAATTTAAGTACACATGAGTGCACGTTTTTGCATACATAAAACATTCTTAGTCTTGTGACTCAACTAAACTCCACTTTTTTTTTCACCGGAATTTATTGTTTCCGGCACAATATTTTTGGAAATATTACATTCTAATGAAAAAGTTTTAATGCAAGCGATTTTATTAGTTATACGGAGTATGACATTATCAATCTTCAAGTAAGCACAGTTATTTGACTAATAACTGACAAACATAAGTTATGATACAAAATCAACAAATTTCCCTCTTACATTCTCTGAAAGGTTCCTTACATTCTAAGAAAGGTAAGGTGATGTTGATGTTGGTTTAAAAAAAAGAATGCCATGACATCACATACAGTAACGTTATACTGTGTCCATATGTGTGACAATAAGGAAACCTAATTCAAAATACATCAAGTTATGGAGAGTTTGAAATTATTAGCATCTTAAACTTTACAGTATTATAAAATACATCAAGTTATAAAAGCATTCTAAAATTTATCTTAAACTTTGAAGTATTATATAAGCATTCTAAAATTTATCTTAAACTTTGAAGTATTATATAAGCATTCTAAAATTTATATTGCAGACTTGCAGAGCACCTCAACACCTAAACTTCAGTATTAAACTTATTTTACATATGTAACTTTACTGATGCTAAGTGCCCACTATTCCAGTGATGCTGGATCACTCTGCTTGTAATACAAAGTTTTGGATATTCATTTATCACATTGATGTATGAGTTCTCAGTTCACACATATATCTAGTTTGGATCATTTCAACTAGTTTTCTTGACAAAACATGACCCTCATAGAAAACTATGATGTTTTAATTGGATTGGTTTCAGTTTCTAACCGCGTAAGATCAAACTTAAACATACCAAATTAGACCAGGTTAGACCAGAGCGGATCAGAGAATTGAAGTCTACTAAAAACATCTTTAGTTCTATTTGTGAACTTTGTCATTTCACTCCTATTTTTGCAATTCCGTTTTTTACTAAGTAAAAATTTACGCGTAAAAATATATACAGGTCACTGTGACACAGCAGAGGTGAAAATTCTAGTAGGGAACAAGTGTGATTTGGAGGGAATCAGAGAAGTGAGCATGGAACAAGGTAAAGCCCTTGCAGAAGAAGAAGGGCTGTTCTTTATAGAAACCTCAGCCTTGGACTCTACAAATGTGATTGCAGCCTTTGACATTGTGACAAGGGAGATATATAACCACCATGTTTCCAGCAGAACTAATCTTTTCTGCTCCAATTCTTATAAGCCCCAACTATCTGCCAATCGCGTCAGCCTTGCTGGCATTGCTCTTTCAAATGGAACTCTCAAGAGCAAATACATGACCACATGTTGCTCCATATAATTTTTTGCTTTTTTTATACAGTATACGTTTCCCTCTACATTTCAAAGAGAAATACTATCACATACACCCTTTATCCCATTACTACTATTCATTCATAAGTAAAAGTAATGATCATCATTATTCTTACCTTAATTTTTTATAAATTCTTTTAAAGTTATTTAGTCCTTTTTTATAGAAATTTGATGCATGTAATTTTATAGCTATTACAATAAGTGAGATGTGTTCGATATTTCAATTAGCTTGTCTAATTTATTGCGAGTATAAAAAATAAATGAGGAGGTTTCATATACGAAGTACCATGTTTATTGTTTAACATGAATATATAAATAAAATAACTTTGTGCGTTTATATATATGGGGCTTGCAAAAAGTGCGTGGAAAATATATTCTATACAACAACAATAAAAAAGATATCGAGGTCAACTAACAAGAATGTATACATGAAATTGGAGCTAAAGAAATACGGAGTAAGATAAGGAAAAAAAAAAGATAAAATAGTCTATCCTCAACCTCCATTTGTCATTAGTAATCTAAATTAGCTTTTCAAAATAAAAAATGAAAAGAAGATAAAGAAAAAAATGAAAAGAATGAGAAAATTAAAAAAAATACAAGATAAAGTTAAAATATAAGCTCAAAAGGATTAAAAATATGAGATAAAAAGTGATCTCTTGAAGAAAATAATCTAGAGCAGTTCTGAGAAGAGGCACATTGTAATTAGAAGGCCTCTGTTTAGTCTTAACATTGGAAAAAATAACAGGACTTACACTATCATATAAATAACGAGTTTAGTGCATCAAACCCTCTCGTGATGTCCAAATTCTATGTATTAACACCTTATTTATCACGACTGATTTGGTGTATTAAATGCTCTATATAAAATCTGATAAAATCATGTAAATAGAGATTTCAGGTGTTTTAAAAACTAGCAAGTGACCCAAGTGATGTTGGTCATATCTGATTGCCACACACCTTAGCCGTGTTTGTAAAATGTGTGTGGCTATGGTAAGCAAGCACCCCGAGAACATGAAGAAATACCCATAAAAGAGTAAAGAGAATTAAGATGGAGGGACAAGGCCACAAGGGTTGACTTATTTCGAAAAGGTCATGGACTCATGGTCAAATCAATTAAATGAATAATAAATCATTTATATCCTTCTCTTCCTAACAAATATAAATCTATATGGTACAGATATTCACATTTGAATTTTAAAAAATAAAGTTATTTCAAGAAACAAAAAAAAACGCCAAAATTTTCAAGGCTTTCTCAAAGCAGAAGCAGCTCCCATGACAACTGCAAAAACAATGCCAACACCAGCTCCAAGGGAAGCCCCAATGGTTGCAGCAGAAATAGAATTTTCCTTAGTCATGGCCTCTCTGATAGCATTGGCAACAACTTCTCGCTCCCTAACCAGTTCCAAGAAAAGTCTGTCTTTCGCGAGTTCCTTCAGACGAATGAATGGCACATTAATAACACCAGAAAGAAACCACATAAACGAATCACATGTTGTGATGATGATGATATAGTGTGTAATTGAATCGACATGTGACTAGGGAAAATAGAGTAAAGAATTAAATATATTATTCGACCCTGCAAATATTACATTTTTGGTTTTAGGTCCTTGTAGTTTATGCTATTATTTTATCCCTCAAAGTAAACCTCCTCAAGAAAAACTGGCATCTACAGTGCTCCCATCTAGACTTTCTATGTCAACTTTTATCAACTCATTGATGACTATTAGAGGAGTTAGGACTGAGCAAAACTCATCATGCTCACTTTCAATATAAGCCTCTGGCTCTAGGAAATAAAATTCCAATGTACTAAAGTCTTAAATGACCTTTAAAACATTACTAAAAAATGAAATTATGTTAATTACAGGGATGAATATAATAAACACAATTTAATAAACCTAAATTATTTAACCCTTGTGAAAAGGAGCAAGTCTCACACACAATGACCCTCGGTCAGGGGAAGGTGATAATATCATAAACTAGGCCACCTTTTCCCATGCTTTTTTTGCAAAGAAGTGGATTCAAACCCTAGGTCTTCAAAACACATGGGGAGAGACTCCGCCAGCTGTGTGATGCCAACCCTTCTGACCGTACACAACAGAAAATGAGAAAAAAGAATGAGCAGATCTAACCTGAAAAGCAGCTTCCTCATAGCTTCGAAGCACACGGTGCACGATATTACAAAGATTAGATACACCCTCCACTGGGAACACTGAAACTTTGTTCTGGAAAGGTTTTGTAACAAATCTAAGAGGAGCAAATATCAGCTTATGAGCACCCATTGGTTCACTCGGATCTCCCTCCTCTGTTTTCCAAGACTGATGAGTGCCGGATGCATTAGGCATGACATAGGGGCATGAATTGATGACCTCAGTTGTGCTTGGAAATGCTTGATATGCATGTAGAACAGAATCAATGGCTGCCTTTTGTTGATTTGCACTCACGGAGAATTTGTTTGTAATTGCAAGAACCCAAGGAATTCCAAGAGATTTGGCCTCCTCTAAGAAAAGAGAAAGAGCCGGTTTGGGCTGGTGGGATGAAGTTGGTTCGCTGTATCTAGGTATTCGGTGAGATAAGTTATGAACAAGAATGATCAAATCGGTCTTCTTACTGAGATCACGGATTCCTTTCCACAGTTCATCTCTGAAACAGGATGCCTCCATTTTCAGATTCTGCAAAGAAAATCCTAAAAACTTGAGCTGTTTTGAATAATTCAGTAACGTGAGTAAGAGGAAAGTTATTTGCATGGGAGATGATAATTAATTTAAAGAACTACGCAGTGGAGAGTAATTGGAAAGACAATGAAACACATCAGAGGCAAAGTAAGTGCCAATTAGAATTTGGCTTTTAAAAAGCCAAAAGAGTAACGTTTGAAAAGCAGTTCTTTCAAATTCAGGAAGCACGTTCCAGATGTCATTAAAACTGTGGAAGTGTTTTTTGGAAAACAAAGCTTTTTGTTTTGTTGATTTTATTTTTCCAATACACTCTGAGGAAAACTTCCCAATTATATTATTAAAACAACTCACTTTACTGATAGGATGTTTGGAAAAATATATCCAACCACAAATCTCATTGATAACAACTCACTTTACCAAAATAACTTTATAAAATAGAACTTCAGTAAAAGGAGCTTTTAGCAAGCTGAGATCCGAACACTGAAAATCACTAACAAAACTTCAGATTAAGCTACATTGTAGCTGAATATGGGAAAGACCAACCAAAGACCCTTCAAAACACTATTGTGAAGAGTGACATGAAGCAGAAAGGAGATGAATAAAATAATGCATGAGGAAAAGTAAACCACCTGCAAATTAACTCCCGATGAATCTGAGTAGCACAAGCCACCAATTAGCCCTTCTTGAACATCCGCATCCAATAGCAGATTCTCAGTACAGTCACTGGAAGTGCTTCTTCCTTGACTCAGAATTGCCTTCAGAAGAGAAGTTTTACCAGCGCCCTACAATGCACAATCGCTAACTTTATACATAATTTCCATTAGCAGATACTCTCCCTCTGGCCCAATATAATTGACGTATTAGAAAAGTGCACACATATTAAGAAACCATAGAAAATGCCTTTCCTACCCTTATTCAAATTAATATTGAATTGAATGTTATAACATTTCTTTCTAAAGTACAAAAGCATTTAATGTAGGAAGAGTTAATATGGACAATATTAGTAAAAAAATATGCATTAAATTCCTAAGAAAGTTATTTTTGGGACCAAAAAATTGGGTTAAGCCGACGGTTACTTTGGGCTGGAGTCAGTATAAATTAATTTTGAAACAGTACCTCTAAGCCAACCAATCGCACCCTGCGAGTCCTGATGTCAACCTCTCTTGAAACAGTAGCAAAATCTGTTTGGCAGAAAATGACAAGATCTAACCCATGGGTGCGTATAAAATTTCCCTCACTAGATGAAGTAGCACCCTGCATTGATTTCAAATCAATGTGGGAAGAATTAATAGGAGGGAACATTGTAGATAGCATGTCATCACCCATGTGGTGCTTCGGTGGCCTTCTTAACGGAGCTCCAACTGAAATTCGCATGTGCTGTAATTCTGGAAACTGTCCATTATCAGTGGAGTACTCTGGCTGTGAGGGAAAAGATTCCACCGTGGTTGAACACCTGAGTAAAATTTCAAGAATCAAACCATGAAATAGCAGCTATAAAAAATATTATGAAATTATACCATTATTATGGTATATAATAATGTGGGTATATGACATTATACTTGCATCAAATTTCTGATGCGTAACCGCTGTGTATATGTGGAATATTATAAAGAATACATCTAACTCAAAATTTCCCCATGTTAAATTGGGTATGGCACTATGGTGTCCGTCATCCCTCTCCAGAAATAGAATGTGTCGGGGCCTCATAACGATTTGTAGAAATCAGCAGAACCAGAGATATATTTGAGGGGGTGCTCTTACACGCACACATACGTATATGATGCGGTTCAAATACAAAGAGAGGTCCAATGCGACCAGATGCAACTTTAGAACAATTTAAAGCACTTTATCATCAAAATGCTTGAATTTTTACGGTGGCGGAATATTTTGGTTTATTTACCACAGTACCATTCAATTTTATTTAAAATATGTTTTTTTATTTAAAATATGTATTATTCGCACATTCTGAGTCATTATATATACATACGGAGTATATATTATGCATTAAGAATGGTGTTTAATACTCCGTAACAAAGTGCAAAATCTTTACCTTTAATTACCTACACTATACTTATTTCCAAATATTTCACTTTTAGCGGTTGCACTGTTGACATTTTATACGTTTCGGAAATGAGATCTCTAATGTAATGTAATTTAAATTTCCTATAATAAAGATTTGTTCCAATTTGAGCCAAAATATATGTGCGTATAATCAAAATTACATATTTACCATAATGCAAATTTACAAATGTTTTTTGTATTTTTAGACATGTTTGGTTGAGGTTTGTTTTGATCATTTATTGTAATTTTTATACGGAGTATGATTTTGTGATTATATTATAATTTAGCAGATTTGTCATATTATAATTGTGAGTTGTTTTAAACTAATTAAAAAAGATAAAAAAAAGTAAATATTTAAGTTAGATATATTTTAAATTTAAAATCATTTTCAAGAATTTGTATATTAATTGATACTCCCTTCGTCCGTTAAAACTTTGTCAACTTTCCTTTTTTGGTTGTCCCACTAACTTTGTCACTTTCCATTTTAAGTAAAGAATTTGTGATTCCAAAGTTAATTCTCTCTCCTCTGCACAAGGCTCAACCACACAGTTTTTACTTTATTCATCTTTGTACCGGTCAAACTTGGCAAAGTTTTAAGGGACAAAGGGAGTACATTTCAAAATTCAAAGCAAGCAAAAAAATGAAAGACCTTGCTAGTGAAACATTTTTTTGTTTGAAAAAAAGGACGATGTTAGGGGATTGGAAACCCTAGCCTCTCAAAGTTTCGACGTCTGGTTCCAGGTTTCTCAAACCTTGACATCCTTAGAGTGAGATGTTACGGACCAATTCTATGGCCGTACATATGAATGAAGGAAGCAGTGTGGGGCAGAGAAGATTAATGACCAACGTGGCTAAGAGAAAAAGAAGAGAAAAGAAATAAGAAGGCAGTTAGAGTCATATTAATATTAGTATTAGTCCTACTTTAATTAGGAAACCCTTTATCTTAGTTGTATTAGAATAGCAACTTAGTTTCCTATTTTGTTTTAGGAAACCCTTTATCTTAGTTGTATTAGAATAGCAACTTAGTTTCCTATTTTGTTTTAGGAAGCCCTTGATCTATTTAAGGGGATCCCAGCTACTTTAATAAACAGCTTTTTGGTTAATTAATCTTGAAATCTCTTGACTAGGTCGGGGATCGATAATTATCTATTAAGCCTCTAATTCAGTTCATCTATTCCTCGTCAATTAAAATAGCTCCAGGAACATCATCGTTTACCTGTGGTCAATCCCGTTCACGTCCTTGGACAAGATCTCTGACTCACGCACTTAACAACTTGGTATCGTAGAATGTGATGCATTGGGATCTGGTTTTGGGGCAGTATTACAACAAGAAAGCCATCTCATCGCATATTTTAGTCGCAAGATTGCTGCCCGCCATGTTAAGCTCGCAGCTTATGAAAGAGAGCTGATCGGGTTAGCCAAGGCAGTCACACATTGGCGACCCTATTTATGGGGATCTCTGCCCGTATGCAGGTTAAGATATTTACAGCCGGGCTCCGCGAGGTTGTCCGAATGGAGGTTGAGTACCAGGATCCATTAGACCTTGACTCGGCTATGATGCTGGCCCGCACTGTCGAACGCAAATATCACCTGCCAAACTATTCGCCTGAACTTCTAGTGCCAAACTATTCGCCTGAACTTCTAGTGCGCCCCCAATCCAACCTACGTTCAGCATCAGTACCTGCCACTGCAGACTCCAACCTGAACCGACGCCAAACAAATCCAAACTTCAAAAAGATATCTCGTGCAGAGGCTGCTATCCGCAGGGAAAAAGGCCTTTCTTATAACTGTGACGATCCTTGGGTCCGTGGCCATCAATGCAAAAGGCTATTCTTTATTGAAATTATGGATGAAGACCAGTCAGAAAATCAGTTTGAGCCAAAGTGGAAGGAGTTGATCGGGAGTTAATTGATCGGGACGATCTTCTCAAACGTGCTCGTGACAGATTGGCTCAAGCACAACAACGAATGAAAAGTCAGTTTGATAAAGGCCACCGCGACCTCTCTTTTGAACCCGGGGCTTGGGTTTGGCTCCGACAGCCATATCGTCAACTCACAATAGGCCGGGGCAATTCCAAACTGTTGCAAAAATATTTTGGTCCATTTCAGATCCTGGAACGCATTGGCCAGACTGCTTACAAGCTCCAATTGCCCGCAGACGCTCGAATACACAATGTTTTTCACGTATCCCTTCTCAAGACACATCATGGACCTTCTCCCGCGTCAATAGGCAGTCTTCCTCCAGCACCTGGCATTCTGGGAGCCGCAATTCCCCAGGCAGTTCTTCGCAGCAGGTTTTTAAATGGCAGCTGGGAGCTCTTAGTTCAATGGCAGGGGCAGCAAGTAGATGAGGCCACATGGGAACCACTTGATTCCTTCCAACTGAGATGCCCTGCTTTCAAGCTTGAGGACAAGCTCTTGGTCCGGGGGGAGTGATGTTACGGACCAATTCTATGGCCGTACATATGAATGAAGGAAGTAGTGTGGGGCAGAGAAGATTAATGACCAACGTGGCTAAGAGAAAAAGAAGAGAAAAGAAATAAGAAGGCAGTTAGAGTCATATTAATATTAGTATTAGTCCTACTTTAATTAGGAAACCCTTTATCTTAGTTGTATTAGAATAGCAACTTAGTTTCCTATTTTGTTTTAGGAAACCCTTTATCTTAGTTGTATTAGAATAGCAACTTAGTTTCCTATTTTGTTTTAGGAAACCCTTTATCTATTTAAGGGGATCCCAGCTACTTTAATAAACAGCTTTTTGGTTAATTAATCTTGAAATCTCTTGACTAGGTCGGGGATCGATAATTATCTATTAAGCCTCTAATTCAGTTCATCTATTCCTCGTCAATTAAAATAGCTCCAGGAACATCATCGTTTACCTGTGGTCAATCACGTTCACGTCCTTGGACAAGATCTCTGACTCACACACTTAACATGAGAGTCATGTCAACTTGGAAAGCAACCTCGTAAATCCTTTCCAAGCGAGGTCAATAAACGTGTTGCATCCCCATTTAATTTAGTTCATAGAGAAGTATAGGGGTCCTTTATCCTTATCGAGTCGCTTCTACTTTAGGATTTCATTATTTTGTTATATTTGTGGATAATTTTTTCCGTTACACATGGTTATTTTTAATGAAAGAGCATTTGAATTGTTTCATATTTTTCAAAAAAAAAATGTGCCGAAATTTAGACTCGGTTTGGTCAAACTATCAAAATTTTACGCAGTGACAATGATAAAGAATTTTTGCAGCCCCCTTTAATCAATTCATGACATCAAGGGATATGCTTCACTAATCTTCTTGTATTCACACGTCTCAACAAAATGAAGTTGTTAAACGCAAGAACCGAAACTGAGTAGATACTGCTCGCACCATGTTATTACATTCACATACATCGGTCAATATTGGGGAGTTCTATGCTCACTACGTATCATTTAATAAATCACATGTCTTCCTTGATTCTTAATAATGAAATTCCATATTCTGTCTTGTTTTCTACTCGTGAGTTATTTCCATTAGCATCTCATGTGTTTGGGTGTGTGTGTTTTGTCCAAGATATGACACATGGGTTATCTAAAATGTCGGCTAGGATATTCACAACTCCAAAAGGGTTATCATTATTATTCTCTTATACTTAAGAAACATTTTGTTTCGACCAATATCACTTTTATTGAGTCTTCCTTTTATTTTTCAATAACTTCGGTTGATACCCCTCATTTATGGACTTCACCTCATATATCCGACCCATCCTTCCAACTAATCCTATTTCCCCCCACATTTGATGAGCATTCAAATTGTCCTCCTATGGCAGGTCGTCCATTACAAGTATATTATCGACGTCCTCGACCTCCTTCCATTGAGCCTATTGTGGTCACGCCTCGTGACTCCCCTAACACGGATCCAACATCATCATCAGCTTTAGTACCTCAACCTATTCGGGATGATTTGCCCATTTCCCTCCAAAAAGGTACGCATTCTACTTTGAATCCACATCACATATATAACTTTTTGAGTTATCACCGCTTCTCTGCCTTTTTACTTTCATTTCACACCTATCTCATATCTCCATTCCTACAACCACACATGAGGCATTGGCACATCCGAAATGGCGTAAAGTTATGTTGGCTGAGATCGAATCTCTTCATTCTAGTGGGACTTAGTCTCCCTCAGAAATTCTTGAGGAAACGGGTATGCTAAAGTGTACACCAGTGGATACACCAATGGATCCAAACGTCAAACTCTTGTTAGAGCAAGGAGACCCTTTGCCCAACAAAGGAAAATATAGAAGGCTCATTGGCAAACTAAATTACCTTACGATCACAAGACCGATCACAAGACCAGATATTTCATTTGTAGTAAGTGTTCTTGGTCAATTTTTTGAAAAGCCATGTAACAAACATTGAGATGCAGCTACTCGAGTCTAGAGATACATCAAGAAAACACCAAGGCAATTGATGTTATTCAAAGACCGAGGTCAGCGTGATATTGTGGGATACTGTGATGCGGATTGGGCAGGATGTCCGATGGATAGACGTTCTACTTCGGGATATTGCATCTTGATTGGTGGAAATCTAATTTCTTGGAAGAGTAAGAAACAAGATGTGGTTGCCATATCCATTGTTGAAGAAGAATTCCGTGCAATGGCCATTGCTACATGTGAAATCTTATGGTTGAAGTATCTTCAAGAACTAAAATATGGAAACACAAAATCATTTCAATTATTGTGTGACAATCAAGCCGCAATGCATATTGCATCAAATCCTCAAATCCGGTATATCTTGAGATGACTAAACACATTGAAGTTGATTGCCACTTTATTCGAGAAAGATAGCAGTTGGACATATTTTAACAAATTATGTCAACACAACAGATCAACTTGCAGATGTTTTAACTAAGTCTTTTACAGGTCCTAGAGGAGAGTATATTTGTAACAAGCTTGGTGCATATGATTTGTATGCCCCAACTTAAGGGCAGTTTGGAAACCCTAGTTGTATTGGGCTTAGCCCATTTGTGAATAGAGACCCTAATGCTCTAATATAGCTATAAATAGAGTTACTTGTATAGCATTTTAATACGAAGTATAATGAATATAATCATATATTTCACACACCAAGGTATAAACCAGCGTCTTTCGGTTTGCTAAATAGTCAAACATCCATCTCACTGACGCCATTCGTTCGGTTTGCTAAATAGTCAAACATCCATCTCACTGACGCCATTCGTTGCTCCATGAGCAAGCTATACATTTTTATTATTCTCTTCATAGTGGTGCTGGAGACATAAACTAGTAACTACAGATCCGAGCAATGGGGGTGGGGGCTCCCCCCCCCCCCCCTTCCATTCCGCAGTTGGTAGAAATGTGTGTGAGTGTGAGTGTGTGTAAAAGCAAAAAAAAAAAGGAAAACAAAACAAAATAAAATAGTTAAACAAAAAAAACTAATAGAGGTATCCCGAGTTCACCCTAAGGACATGAAAAAGATCAAATTAGGTTTTAAAAGAACTCATTTGGTGATCAGTATCCATGAGCATCAGCCATCAGATGAATGCCAGAAAATTGAAGATCATTGAAAAACTTAACACCTGCCCCAATATATCATATAATTGTTTTTGGCTTTCCCTTTTTTTGCTGAAACATATGAACTTGGTATATTCGATCCCCGAACCCACAGGGGAAATATGGATTGGTGTATTCATGAAAATATATTGTTCTTTTTATCCTGAGCTTGTTAGTCTTTGGCACTTGTTACCGAAACTAAAAAAGGATGAAACTAATATGAACAGAAGAAGCCTATCACCATCATCATTATGAAACTAATATGTATTCTAAAAACGGATGAAACTAATATGGAAGGAAGCCTACCATCATCCTCAAGACTCTTGGAACTAGTATAAATACAGATGGTATATTCATTAATAAGATCATCAATCTTTTGGAGAAATAATTCTTGTGTACTTGATTGAATTGAACGACTCTTCATTGCCTAGGGCAGGAGGCTCTCTTATTTTTCCAAGTACCATACTTTTTGATCTTCTTTTCATCTCCCAAATAACAATTTGGTATAAAAACCGATTTGATTATTATTACTAATTTATTATTATTAATACTAGAGAAATTCCTCTAAATAGGAGTAAAAACGTTTGTGAATTCCAGAATAGTAGTACTATGTTTTTATTCCATAAATAGGCGTAATTACTGCATGTTTTGGCATGACCCGGCTTTAAACATGGCAATATCTCCATGTTTGGCGGTAATTACTCCTATTTAGGGAACAAAAACATAGTACTCCTATTTTGAAATTCCAAAACGTTATTACTCCTATTTCGGGAATTTTCCCTATTTTATTATTATTATCATTATTATTATAATTATTATTATTATTATCATTAGTCTCCTTTATAAGTGTTAGTGTTCATTTCCTATTGCTGTTAGGATTAATTCCAAAAGTTTTAGTGTTCGTTTTCTATTAGTATAGTTATTCCCTAATTGAAGTATTTTAATAGAAAGAGGATTACTCTAATACTGGGCCACCAAGATATAAATAGAGCCATAGAGGTGTTTATCTTCATTAATAAGATCATCAATCTTTTGGGTAAATATTCGTCTTGTGCGCTCGGTGGAACTGACGAACACTTCCTTGCTTAGGGTGGGAAGTTGTGCTATTTTCCTAATTACATACTTTTCAATCTTCTTTTCATCTTCGACCATGTCCGTAACAGAAACTTACCAGCGACCATTAACACGAGCTTGAACAAGTGTACATAGATGTAACCCAAAGCCAGCAATGTCAACTTTCAAGGAGTCAGAGTTTTTGTCCCTAGGAACCCCACTCCAACCAAGAGGAACTATTGAGGTAGCCGCACGGATAATGGGAGACTCTACAATATGCCCAAGTTCAACGACACCTTCATTAGCAGAAATACCTAACCACTTCTGCAACTGTGGAAATTGCTTTTTTGCTTGTTCCATCCCCAAAAATGTCAAAGTTTCATCACTCATACAGAGCTCATAGATTCTATAAGAGGAAAGCACAGACCAGAAGAATTCAGTCACATTAAGAAAACACATTAATATATCAGATGAAGGATGAGAGTTTAATGTAAGTACCAGGGAAGGCAGGGATTACCTTTGGAACCGAGCCCTGTATGACCTCATTGAATGTGACTGAAATCTTTCTCTTACTTCAGCAATCACAGATCTGACCTGAAAAAGTCTTTGCCATAAGAAAGCGACCATAATGAGAGAATTTCAGTAAAATATCCCCCCGTTGTGTAAATTAAGCGACAATTAACAAACTCCTTTGTTCTTTTTACTAAAAAAATTGGGGATTGGGTGGGATTAGGGTGAGGAATGCAACAAGTATCTAGGCAAAAATAAGAACCCTGGGAAAAAGATAGTCAACAAATAGAACTCATACCGATATCAGTTTTGAATACTCTGCACCGGATAGAAACTCCACCGATGAGCTCCCCAGAAGAAAAAGCTGCCACAAATTACATAGTTATGTGAAAATTTCACATACTAAAGTATGTTCAAGAAAATCATAAGTTCATGAACACCTATCCAAAGTCAAGTAGCAAATGCAAAAAAACTTGCAACAAATACAGAATTGATTCAACTAGATCTCAACTTAGAACTATGAAACATTTTAAAGAAATGATAAATATTAGAACTAAAAATCTCAACTGAAGAAAGTTGGTTAGGGTCGGGTTAAGCTAAAGGAGTAAAGGCTTATTATAAAAGGATACAAGCAAAGAGGGAACTTATATTATGAACCCAATTATGACCTTTATTATTCATCAACAATTACTTGGGCTACCAAACATGCTATAACTGAAGTTAATGTGTGTGTGTGAGTATATACAGGTACGGTACACACACCATATTGAACATGTTATTGACCGCTTATAAAGTTATAGAGTGATGAAGAGCACAGTTCATAGTGGGATGCAAGGGAATATATCAACCTGACCGAACGGTACATATGAAGGTAATGAAGGAATTATTCTTCGTGCCCTCTTCTCCCCATTACTGGCAGAAGATTTTCCATTCTTCAGGTCACCAGAAATATATTCATTTGCCTGAGGCAATGGTTGAAGAGTGATTCCGTCAGAGCCTTCCTGGATTTCAAGAGACTGTGGGGTAGATATATCATTAAGAGATGATGGTAATGCTGAAGCACTGTTAGCAGATGATTCAAGAGGTCCATCCTTCTTCCTTCTGTACTTATAGAGCTGACTTCTCACACCTTCTAAAGGCACAAGCCTAGAGAGTCTCCAAAATGGGTTCTGAACAGGACCTACACCGAGAACTAGTTGCTCCCCATCCTTTTCTTTTCCTCTTTCACCATTCTTCTTATCAGCCCCTTTTGGTTTTGATATAGATAGCGAGCCACTAGCATCAGAATGTGTTGGTAGCGACTGGGTACTATAGTGGTGAAAATATGCAGGAGACAATATACGAGGCACCAAATCTTCTGGAATACAATAGGTTTTAAAGTAGTTCTGCCACCCTTTGCTATTCACATAGCTGAAGAAGAATAACCAATATAAAGAGTCATCAAGCTACACAACTACTCCCTCCAGCCTGTGTAATTGTTTATATGTTAGGGACATAGGGTGATCCTACTATAAGTCACATTTGTATTACTAATTTCATTCATTTCATTTTCATTTACCCCAGTGCCGCAAAGGCTCCCACCTACGGTGGGGTAAGGGGGGATTGGATGTACGCAGTCTTATACTCTTATCCCTGTACTAAAGCACAGAGAGACTGTTTCCGGATGACCCATAGTGAAAATCGCGTCCAAAATTGCATGGACTGGCTGCTGCTTCATAACAAAGAAGCGCAGACAGTTTAGTGAGCCATTTTGCTTTATTCCATCATATTCTCAAGCCAAAAAATAATGAATCTTTGGCTCCATTGCAAATGATGGAAAAATTTGTATTACTAATGCAGATTTAAATTTTTCTTTCACAACTGCACCTCTTGAAAACTCTAGATGTATTCCCCACAGTAATGTTTAAGCGCATATTAGGATTTAGGACAGTGAAGATTATTTTAGATGCTTTTAGTCATTTCCATGGTCTATGTGTAACCCAAAATCATGCATTCATGCCTTATAATATGGACCAGAGGGAGTAAAAATTACTCTAATACAAAAGATGTAAAATGTAGCATACTCTTTTAAAGCAGCATTTCCAACTGGTGGCTGGGAGAAAGTGACACATTTCACCTGAACCTTTTCATGCTCTCTTGATGAAGCAGCAACAACCCTTAAAATGGCAAGAGTAGCTAAGACTGCGACCTGAAAAATAAAGCCAAATAATTTCCATCAGTGCCAGAGCCATGAATGACATGTAAAACTGTAAAAGTGAGCACTTTAATTACGCAGTGTTATATTATACATTACACACACATACATATATGTGTGTGAGTGAGCGAGTATGTGTAGCAATGTAGCAGGCAAAACAAACTTACAGCTCCACCAAGTGAATGGCCACACAACACAAGTTTCCGCTTCTTTTTCTGCGCAAGCCTGTACAGCTCCAATGCAGGTATTCCTTTAGCACGAGCCAAGAATCCCTGTAATGAGGGAAACAGTCAAACAGGAACAAATATGCATATCACACACAAAATGAAATTACTTTCTAACAAAAGGCAGCTGGCAGTAAGCAAACATGTTTTATGGCAGAAATAAGGCATCAAGAACATACATGAGATCAAACATAGTAACATGAAAAATGAAATCTTTAATACCTTGTGAACTGCTGGTTTTGGCATAGGTTTTGTTGGTTTAGGCATCAAGTCCATAGATTTTGAGAAATTTTCAACGCTGTTCTTCTGACTGTCCACTTCTGTGGATTCGTTCTCGTTAAAGTCTCCTGTGGGATCTTCATGAAATATGGCACCTTGAAATATATTCACATCAGCCATGACATCCCTTTATGAATAGAAAACGGGAGAAACATATGAAATGAAGAACATTTATCATCAGAGTAAAAAACATTTAAAGACTTGATATAAAATACCACTGACTTGTATTGCTTGGTCCCAACAAATGAAGCAAATAAGGTGTTACCTGCTTCAGCTAGCAAATACCTAGAAAGTAAAATGAATTATAATTATCACCCTATTGTAAGGTCTAAGGTGATGCACTATAAAGTGTTAATAGATGCAGATAGTGAAGCATAAAACAAAACCTTCAAAATTAGGACAATAGAGTTGTTCACGTATCAATGTACCTGTGTGGAACATGATCAGAAGAGGGTTGAACACGTTCTATAGAAACGTTTCCTCCAAAGTCAGCCATAAACTTGTTCACCACTCGTATAATTTCAGTTCCATTTTTCTGAAGCCATTGTTATTACATAATTTCAGATACAATGATTTTAGGTAGGGTCAAATACAAAATTATCTAAGACCTTTCCTGTACTGACTCATCTGAATATAACTAGATAAATTTATCACAATTAGCTCTGGTTGATTTTGTTCCTGAAATTACGCCTAGTAAACTTAAAAATAGATATAAGAACAGACAGCAATGCCATTATCAAAATCAGATGCATTGGGACTTTGGGAGCACTAAATATTATGGTCTAGAAGATTGATGAATGATCACAAGTAATAACAAGCAATAATTCACTATCTGGCTACTCAAGATCAAATGGTAAGGGAATGCACTTCAATTTGCGATAACCCTGCATAAAATTTGAATCTTTTGAAGAAATAACCTTGTAAACACACTCAGACAGCACCATGCAGCAAAGGATATCCTGCAAATCGGAGACAGATTCAGCCTTAACGGCGAAGCAGAGATCCTTGAGTTGCTTCTTTCTCCGTTCAAACTCCTCCTGAACTCTCTTCCTCTGCTCTTTGCCATCGCCCCAAGGCCACTTCACCGCCATTGGCCACTGCAGGGGCGGCCGGGTGAGGCTCATTATCCTTGCACTCTGATCTTTGATCCATGTCTCTATCCTCCTGTGCAAAGTTTCCATCATTCCTCCATACACGACTTCACAAATCAAAGTTCCCCGCCCGCCGAACACCGTGGGGAATAGCTAGTCTGTTCAGAGAAGATGATCAGAATTGGTTGTGGGCGTGTCTACGTTTGAGAAGGTAGTCCCTATGGTACGGAAAATTGAAAACAACAGGCTCATTTAGTCATTTTATAGTAGGGGTGGACTGGGTAGGGTCGGCCCGACCCGGGACCCGGCACCGCCCGGCATTGTGCTTGCCCGACCCGACCCAATGAACGGGGATCGGGACCGGGACTGGAGGCCCGAACCAGGTTTGCTAGAGGCAGGCTACGGGCTTCGAAAATGTTGGACTGGCCTAGCTGGGTCCGGCCCGATCCGGGCCTAACGGCCATATTTTAAATAAATAAATAAAAATAGCTTAATTGGCTTGGGCTGCTATTTGGGCTCCTAGCCATTGGAAGAGGGGTCTGGGGAGGCCGGAGGGGGTTGTGGATGGGGTAAAAAAAACTTATAAATACACATATTTTCTAAACGTACATTTTTCTACACCTATTCTCTGATTTTTGTTACTCTCTGATACTCTCTAATCATCTTCATCTTCTCCAATTCTCTCTACCCCTATAAATATTTATATTATATCTATTTTAATTAGTTATTCAATAATTATATCTACTTATATATTAAGTATATTTTTTTAATGAATATTCTATCAAAATCATATTTCTTCCCTGCTCATTTATAAGTCATTCAATAAAACTGTCATAGCTAGCTAGAAATGATAAAACTAACAGATCAGTCAGAGTCAATGGAAGTTTGGTATAGTAGAAGAAATGATGAAGCAGATAATGTATGTGTTATTCCAATGAAACATCATAGATGCTTGACCTCTTCTTGTTCTTGACATCCTTGTCCAGATGAATAAAATACTTCTGAGCATGACTAGCAACTTGAGTAGCTGACCTTGTCTTCACACACTGCCTAGCTATGCTCTTCCAGTCTCCTTTCCCATACTTATTTAGCCCTTCCAAGAATCTCTTGTGTTCTCCTGCAGTCCATTGGGTAGCTGGTTTCCTGGCCTCTTTGATCTTATTCTTCTTCGTGTTCTTGTCATTGGCTGATTCTGTGTAGTCGGGAAGCTGTATAAGACCAGTCTCAATATCCGCTACATCGGACATCAGAATGTGATAGTGTGTTTCCATTTGCAGAGCGGTTTTCAGCGGGAGCAAATCTGCAATTTTCGCCCATCTGTTGGGTGTGCCTTGTGCATACTTGACCAGAGCAGTCTCAAAAATCTTGTCTTCACTCCTACCCCATATTGATGCGCGCTCCTCCATTCTCCAATCTGTGCGCCTTCTCTATCTGTTGTCCTCTAAGTACTCTTAATTAGCTGCTTGCGGCCAGGTCGGTGGCTTCTTATATATTAAGTACTCCCTCCGTCCCGCTATGATTGTCCAATTTTACCTTTTCGGCCCGTCCCACTAAGATTGTCTCATACCTTATTTGGTAAATTTTGTGTGGTTCTAAATCATTCTTACTTTATTCTTACTTTATCAATTCAATATCAACCACATAAACCCACTTTTATTAATAATTGTGCCACCTTCTCTTGTCCCAAACTTAGGGGGACGGAGGTAGTATATATATTAAAGTATTATATGTAAGTGTACTACTCATCTTATAGTAGCATACTTATATACTACGTATTATATACTACAAACATTATATTGCTCTGTATATATTAGTTAGTTAAAGTATAATTTGTAGTTTAACTAATATTCAATTATTCATTAATATTAGTTAAATTTATCCTATTAGTTATACTTCCATTAATTAATATACATAATACATTTATCATATTAGTTACACTTTCATTAATATTAGTTAACTTATCTCATTACTCACACACTTACATTCATTAATACATTTATTATTATACATTCATACATTTATCCTATTACTTACATTTTTCATTAATATTAGTTACACTTTAATTGTACTCACAAATATTAATTTGTTACAAATTACTTACATTTCAGTTACATTAATTCAATATTTTATTAAATAAAGCCATATTCAGTTACAAATTACATACATTTTAGTTACTCAAAGTTTATATTAATACATGTTACATTTTAAGATGGAACGGTGTAGACATTCTGTAGATATGAGTAACCTTCAACGCAACTGAAAGAGGAGATTGCGAAGAACCATCCCAATTCGCAAGGCAGAGGTAGAGGACATGTCAGGTCTTCTTCTCAAAGTCGGGGTGATTTTGACACAAATTATGATCGGGAAGATGCGAAGTACGACGCCGAAAAGGAGGTGCCAGCGACGGCCGAAGAGGTACAAGGCGATCAACAAACTCCCGACGAAGAAACACCCGACGAGGATGAGCCTTATTCATCCCAACTCGATAAGAAAGGTGAATCTCTCCTTATGAAAATAATTACACAAAATGGAAGGAAACCTCAAGTGAGAAGTGGTGGACAGTGGCGGGCCGAGCATGGGGGCAAATGGGGGCTGCTCCCCCCCCCCCAAATTTTATTTTCCTAGGTATATTTATCTCAAAATTTAAATATATATGTATTTGCAGGCCCGGCCATAGGGGTAGGCAGCTAGGCCATTGCCTAGGGCACCACTTTAAGTGGGGGCACCATTTAAAAAAGATCTATTACTCCGTATTATATATGGAGTATGTAATACGAGTATATTACTCCGTAGTGTATTAATTAATAGGATGTACATTGGACTATCCAAATTCTACAAGCGGCCAGCGGGTAAATTGATGTGGAAATTACCCGAGAAGTCTGCTCTTGTCTATCACATATCAATTATGGCTCAATTATTTTATCTTTTCACTTTTAACTTTCTTCTTTTCAATTTAGATTTTCATATTTCACTCTTGCTTTCTGCCCACCTCCTTCATACTTCGCTTATAATATCACTAGAGAGCTGACGACGATTTCCCAACATGGCAATCCCCTCAACGAATCTCCAAGGCAAAGACGATCGTTGGCCAGTGAGATGCTCGACGACAAGCGACGGTTTCCCTGATGCGGAGTCGTCAGACCAAAATTGGGATCAACGACATGGGCGGCGCGAAGGAGTCTCTATTAGCTTATGATCAGTATTTTGATCTATTTTTCCCGATTCGATGGCTGGAAGCGACAGGACTGGAGTACAAATGAAGGGAGATGGAGTTCCAGCCGTCCATGGTAGCAAAGCAGAGCAGTGTGCGACCCTGTGCAATTCAACCTGATTTCCACGGAGATTACACCAGGAGCAGATGGCTTGGAGTACGCGACCAGACCGCAGGACCGGATCCAGAAGCTGATTTTCGACCCTTGCAAGCAGATTGGAGATCGCGAACGGGAAGTTCGAGTGTTTCTTCAGGCAGGAGGCAAGCTGATTGGAGGCGTCCAGTAGGTAATAGCAGGTTGGAACCGTTTACCTTCGCACCAGGTTTTTTGAACAGCAGCAGATAAATTTGATTTTTCCATTGAAAGCAATTTTTTTTCATTTTAAAATTATGAATTGCTCGGCTGTTCGCATATCTGTTACTAAGCATGGAATTTCATCCGTTATGGACCTCAATCTTGCTCGAGTTAACTTGTTGATCCCTATGAGAACTATGTAGGCCTATTTTATCTGGTTGATGTGGATATATTATACCCGTAGTATATATTAAACTTTGCTTAAATAGAAATTTGATGGCAAAATGAATGGATTAAACTATGTCTCCGGGCTTTTAAATTTTAACAGAACAATTGTATTGGTCCTGTACATCACATTTTGGCTACTAACTTTGAGCAGGAAGTTGATTAGAAATGTAGATATGTGTGTTTGTTTTGTGCATGGTTCTCCATTACCGACTCCTCATTTTGTGATGATGAAAAAGAGTTACTCCCTGACTTCAGTTTGAAATTTTCTTGCCCATTATAATTTTTATTTTCATGATAAATTTGTCTTTATTCATTCTAGGATGTTGAAGTAGCTCTAAATGGGAACTTTGATGTAGTGCTGGATATTATTGATGTTCCAGATACTAAAGAATTGAGTAATTGAAATCAATGTAATGAAGAGACAATGACACTATATGACATTGCACGTAAAGGTAAATACAATTTGAATCCTTTCCTCACTTGCTACTGAATTTAACACAATTATACATTTCAATTGTTTTGTGAAAGAGATTGTTGACATCTGCCTGGATCACATCTGCAAGCTTGCTGATAACTGCACTGGCCTGTAAGGGTTCCTGGTTTTCAATGCAGTAGGTGGAGGCACTGGTTCAGGTCTTGAATCTCTTCTGCTGGAGCGTATCTCTGTTGACTATGGCAATAAATCCAAACTTGGTTTCACCCAATCACCCCAGGTTTCCACTTTGATGGTTGAGCCACTTTCAAGTGTGGTATTAACTACCAGCCACCAACTGTTATTCCTGGAGGTGACCTGACCAAGGTGCAACGGGCTGTTTCTGTGATCTTCAACTCCACCAGTGTTGCTGAGGTGTCTCCCGCCATTCCATCTCAATTTAGATTGTAAAGGATTCCTTGAAAATGTATCACCCCCACTAGATTGAATTACATAATTAGTGTGTTATTTTTATACTCCGTATATTGTTTTTTTTTCTTTTTGTTGCATTTTGTTGAATGGTAGGTGTTGCTTTTTGTTGCAACGTGTTGCTTTTTGTTGCAACGTGTTGCTTTTTGTTTCAACATGTTGCTTTTTGTTGTAACGTGTTACTTAAAGTTTATTTTAGTTGATTTCAATTTTTATTATTTATTTACATTTCTACTCATCTCTAATGCTTCTTTACAACAAAATGTATTATACAGAATTATATATAATCATATAAATTATAAATTTAAATTTATTAATATACCAAATACCACAAGAAATGTGAAGAAACAATAAGAAACAAAAAATTCAAAGTTATAAACAAAAATAAACACAAAGAAACAATAAGAAACAAAAAATTCAAAGTTATAAACAAAAATAAACACAAAGAAACAATAGGAAACAAAAACTTATAAATATTAAAAATTATGACTATTGTAAAAAATACTCAGTTACATAAATCATATTGTTTCCTTCTTCAAATTTTACAGGTATATTTTTTTGCATTTATTTCATTTTTCACATTTTTATTTCTGAGATCTT